AGCTTTCTTATATAGCCCAGGCCCACTGGGCCAGATATGGTATTTCCCAGTTATCTGGGCCCTCCTGAATCAATTAGCAATTAAGAAAAATATCCCACAGACATGCCCTCAGGCCAATGTGATCGACGCAATTCTTCACTTGAGGTTCCCTTTTCCCAGGTGTGTCAAGTTGACCACAAACTCACCAGGAATGTGCAAATGAGTGGGTGCTCTGAAGACAGCAAAGGCAATGTGTGTGTCCTCTTCTGTGGCTTTGCACTTCGGTTTTTGTTTTGTTTGTTTGTTTTTCCAGACAGGGTTTCTCTGTGTAGCCCTGGCTGTTCTGGAACTAGCTCTATAGACCAGGCTGGTCTTGAACTCACAGAGATATGCCTCCCAAATGCTGGGATTAAAGGCATGCACCACCAACACCTGGCTTGCACTTCAGTTTTTAAATAGGACCTCTCATGGAGCATCCTGATTTGCCTGAGCTGGCTGGTCAGGGAGCTCCTGGATCCCAGTCTCTGCCCCTACTCTGCAATGCTGCCATTTCAGACACAAACTACCATACCCGATTTTTCCTTTTCATTTTTGGGACAGGGTCTCACTATGTATCCCTAGTTAACCTGGAACTCAGAGAGATCTGCCTGCCTCTGCCCAACAATCCCTGCCCCTCCCTGCCCAGTTCTGAGATTAAAGGCAGGAGCTACAGATCCTCATGTATACAGAGCAAGTTCTCTCCCGCAGTGAACCATCTCTCTACCCTGTTGTTTTATGTCTGAGATATGCTATTGTTATGTAACCCAGGCTAGCCATGAACTCATGATTCTTCTGTCTTGGCCTACTTTCCCTAATGCCACCACCACATTCATTCAGAACTTAAGGTTTTTTTTCTCTCTTTTACATTTGTGCTTGTGCGTCTGTGTGGACTGTGGCTTTCATATAGAGGTCAGAGGACAACTTGTGAGAGTCTTCAAATTGTTGGGCTCCAGTAATAATCCTGTCATAACCTTCAGAGTAGTTAGGACTTTAGGTACACATTCTGCTACCACATCTGACAGCCTTTAAACAACCAAAGCTAACACCCGAAGGTGTGAGAAAGTGAAAGGATGGGAAGTGAGCGTGCTTATCGCTTTTTCTAAATGGTAAAGTACTTCTATCTGTGAGGCTTTAACCTGTTCTTGAAATCCTCTATGTGAAATAATTTTTACTTACTAAGATCCTTTCTTAAGGAGGAAGACCAAGAAGGCCACAAGACAGACCACCTTCCTAAACTATGCCTGTGCCAAAGAGCTGGAACTGGGCATATCCAAGGCCTTACGACATTTCTACCCAAATCACACTCTACAACTACCCAGTGCTCATCTGAGATTATGGGGACATACCCCATATGCTCATCTGCTCTCAGGAATGCTGAACCCCAGCTTGGAGTGGCTAAGGAACCTGTGAACACTGCCTGAAGAAGGCTCTCTTTCTCTCTAGTTCCAGAGCCCTCCCCAGAAAGAAAGAAAGGAAGGAAGGAAGGAAGGAAGGAAGGAAGGAAGGAAGGAAGGAAGGAAGGGAAGGAAGGAAGGAAGACATGATTCCAAAATAGGTAGGAGAAACATTGGGAGTTCAAAGCCATCCTGAGCTACACACCAGATTCAAGACTGAGGTTAACCTGGAACACACAAGGCTCTGTCCCAAAAAAGTAAAAGAGAAAAAACAAGAAGACAGGGTAGGAGTAACACATTCAAAGTCCATGCTGCTTGAAAACACTATAGACAAATGTTTCAGCAAATATTCTCTCTCACCCCATTGGCAAACAGGCAGTTACACTACCTACCAAGCCAGACTTGAAGGCTGAGGATATTCTGTAAAGCAGAATGAATTAAGAATACAGCTGTGCAGGGTGGTGGTGGTGCATGCCTTTAATCCCAGGACTCAGGAGGCAGAGGCCATCAGATCTCTGAGTTCAAGGCCAGCCTGGCCTACAGAGCACGTTCAGGACAGGCTCCAAAGCTACAGAGAAAACCTGTCTCAAAGGGGGGAAAAAAAAAATAGCGCTGCAATGGGAGGAGACTGAACACAGGGCCAGGTATAGTGGCTCACACCTACAACCTTAGCATTTGGGAGGTTGAAGCAGGAGCAGTGCCCTAAATTCTAGGCCAGCCTGAGCCCCAGAGTAAGACAGAAGTGTGGCATTATGTTTTGTTTTTGTTTTCTTAATTTTATATGTATGTGTGCTGTGTCTGGGCAAAAGAAAAAAAAACTTCAAATTAAGACAACTTCAAATAAGATATTAATTTCTCACATACACCCCAGACACAGTCTCAAATATCCCAAGTAGCCTCCAGCTTTCTATATAGCCTCAGTTGGTCTTGAGCTCCTGATCTTTCCCCTTAAGCCTCCAAAATTCTGGGCTTACAGGTAGAAACCAAGCCATTTGGTTGTAAATTTTCACTTGTAAAGCTGGTAAAGTTTAATAGAACAACAACAAGAGAGCAAAACAGAATCACTTGTATTTTCCAGACCCATGCACACGATGGTGGAAGCAGTACAAGCCAACATAAAGTTATTATAACTCTCATTTTGCTCTTGCACTGACTCAGCAGTTTCAGCTGTAGGTGCCTGTCCTAAAGAAATATTTGCAACCAAATGTGATGGCACACACATGGGCCTATAATTCCAGCTCTTTTTTCAGGCTGACAGGATTACTGCTCTGAAGATATAACTTATTACTTGATGTGATACTTGAGAGGGTAACACATAAGAGGAGAAAAATCATGTTTTTCAGCCAAAACAAAACACGTAGTAAAAGTTTGTAAGGGAAGCAGTGTAGCTTTAGTGACTGAAATAGTTCAATGAAAGCATTAAGACTGAAGAGGCAAACAGCACAAGGTTGACACTCCAAAACCTTAGCTCATTAAGACACACCAAGAGGTAAAGAAGTCTCCAGATAGGTTTGAAAACAGCCCTTACAGCTCCCTTAGCTCTGGCTATATCCAATTACCTATGATTTTCTTAAGACACTGAAGTGACAGTTTAGCACTGAAGACCTGAGGTACCTATGGAAAGGTAGTAGGAGAGAACTTCAATGCTCCATGTCACACACACACACACACACACACAGGTGAATATTTAAAGCATCACATTCCACACCTAGGCTTCCAGTGCTTTCTTTGTCTGTTAAGAAATGTGCTAAACTGCTCCTTGTACAAGTGCTGAGCTATATTTTGTCATTTCTCTTGTAATTTGTTTTGTTCAACTTCCAGCAAAAGTGTAAGCAGGAGGCTCAGTGGTTAAGAGCACGTATTACTGCCTGGAGGCTGGGAAGTTCAGTTTGAGACCAGCTTTGGCTACAAAGAGTACTTACTAGGCTAGACTGGGCAAGACCCTTTCTCAAAAACAAAGTCAACGATGGTAGAGAGATGACTTATCAGTTAAAAGCACTTGTTGCTCTTGCAAAGGCCCCAGGTTTAGTTTCTAGCACCTACTGGGTGATTCACAACTGCCTGGATCCAACTCCCTATCTTGCCTGACCTCCAGGCTCTAGGCATGCATGCGGTGCATAATACGCATATAAACAAAACATTCATTCACATACAGCAAATATAAAAATTAAAAAGCCAAACAAAATATATGAGTCTATGTATAAAAGTTATCTGAACAGTCATAGACTCCATGCTTCCTGACTTCCTTGGGCACCTACACAGACACATACACACGACTGAAAAATCTTTATAAAATATGTAAACTGTACAAACTTTATAAAATATGTATACTGTACTTTTCCAAGCTTGCACTTTCAGCTGCTTTGATATGTCTATTGGGTTACTGAATAAGAAAAAAAAAAAAACACACTCCATTTCTCATTCTGTCCTTTGAAAGCCAACTACAGACTTTGATTCGTTGGTCAGAAAATTAAAACAATTAGCTAACGAAATTAATTTTTTTGTTGCTACTCTGCATCCAAACGTAATGGAAGATTGACTAGAAAAGAATCCACTGCCTTCAGTTTGCATAAAGCATTCCCTGTTTGCTTCAGTCCCAGGTTCCCTGGGCCTCAGGCTTTGAAGCCAGAAGGAAATGAAGCCTGGGCTCGCCAGAAAGCTCTCACAGAAGTAAGTGCACTTGGGTGAAACCACCAGATCCAAAGCCTGCAAGGTTGGTCTGGCGACTAGGCCCGCCTTGCTCAGCATTTCTTGCCCGCAGGGCTCAGAGCTAAGGGGCTGCAGAAAATAGGCTCCGGGTGGGGTTCGGCTTGGGTTCCCGCAGATCCCCTTCGGCAAAGGGCCTGCGGCATAGTTCCGAGTGTAGGGAGCCAGAGCAGCTGGGCTCCAGGACATGACCTCTGCACTTCAAGACTTCCGCACTCTGCGGCGTCGCAGTAAAGAAAAAGCCTCTAGTAGATTCCACGAGCCTTGGGAACCGGGGCTTGAGTCCCACCCCCACAAGGCCTTTGGGCTCAGCCACTCCCCGCCCTAGGGCCCCCGCGCCCCCGCGCCGTTGCCCGGGTAACCGAGGGGCGGCGGCAGCGGCGTGAGGCGGGACTTCCGGCAAGTGACGCGCCCCGGCTCGGCTACAAAAGAGGTCGGCTGCGGCGGGCCGGGCGGAACTTTCCAGAACGCTCGGTGGGAGGTGGAGGAGCAGCGTCTGCCCCAACTGCGTTGTGCTACGCTCCTCTTTCCGCTCTCCGGCACCGGCCCGCTCACCGGTGAGTCTCGGCCCTCGGGCCTTCCTCGGTCGCGACGTGCGGCCTTGGCTCCAGATGGCCGAAGGGAGCCGCAGCCGGAGGCCGTTGGCCTCGCGTGGGCGGGGGCTGCGGGCTCCCTGAACCGGACTCGGTCTTCGGAAGGCCGCCGGGATGCTCGGGGCCCTCCCCGCCCGCCACGAGGAGGCCCGAGGCCCGAGCCGACTCGGCGTCCGCATCACACTCGTGTCGGTGCGCACCCCTTTCGCCCTGCCGCCCGCGCCGGGTGGGCAGCGCTGCGCACGCGCGGACCGAGGCAGGGGTGAGGGGCTGCGGGAGGAGCCGGGCGGAGGCTGCGGCTTGTGCTTCTCCTGGCTCTCCTCCCTCTCTTTGTTGAGGTCCGGCCTTCCCCCCTCCGCCTTTTCGATCCGGGTGGGAGGGAGAAAGGAAGGAAACCTTAACGGTCGGCGCCAGGTGCCGGGGAAACCCAGAGGGCGACTCTGCTTCGTGGGCCCTGAGGGACGAAAGGGGTAAGCGGCGAGCAGGATCAGGATGGCGCCGGGGCCCGGGGCACCTGCACCCTGGATCTGGTCTCGTAAGCCACTCCTCCACTCCCGGGAGTCCAGTGTCTTTCCGGCGAGTGTAGGGCCTTTAGCAGATGTACGAAGGCTGTGGTTACATACTGACCAGTGGACAGCCTACCAGTGCTCCTTTGGGTTACTAGCACAACATCTGGGGAAAGGAAACCGGAAGGAGCCTGATCACACATGTGTTAGTGCGGGAGAGTAAGAGCCAGCTGCTAGAGAGGCTTTCAAATTCCCTGCAATTATGTTTAGTCTGTTAGGATTTGCAGCCGAATCATATGATGATAGCTTTAATAGATAACAGATTGCTCTAGTTCTGGTAGTTTGCTAAAAACTACCGGTTAAAAGCCGGTCATGGTAGTGCACACCTTTAACCTAACCCCCGCGCTCAGGAGGCAGGTGGCGCTTCTGCACACAGCAAAAGCTGGTTTAAAATTTCCTCATTTTTCTGATTTCAGGCTGTAAAAAATGGTGAAAGAAACCACTTACTATGATGTTTTGGGGGTCAAACCCAATGCCACCCAGGAAGAACTGAAGAAGGCATATAGAAAATTAGCCTTGAAGTACCACCCTGATAAGAATCCAAATGAAGGAGAAAAGGCAAGTACATTCTCATCAAACAGCTTAGCAGTGTTGCCATTTGTGTGTATTTCTGCTGGTGCCTGAAAGTCAAGGTTGTAATACAGTGCTGTGTAACAGTTATTTCTAATGGGATTTCTTTTTCTGAAACAGTTTAAACAGATTTCTCAAGCTTATGAAGTTCTTGCTGATTCCAAAAAAAGGGAATTATATGATAAAGGAGGAGAACAGGCCATTAAAGAGGGTGGAGCAGGTGGTGGTTTTGGCTCACCCATGGATATCTTTGACATGTTCTTTGGAGGAGGAGGAAGGATGCAAAGAGAACGGAGAGGTAAGAAAAAGTTCAGCTTATCTGCAGCAGAATAAAGTAGCTGCTACTGAAAGACTGAATTTACTTACATTCAGTGCTTGTTTATGTGGTGGGATGATGTTAAACTGTCCATGACTGCCTCTGATTACTGGTGTCATTTATAATGGAGATTTTTGTGTAATCAAAATAGCTAAGCCAATCTAGTGGGTGTCTCCCATCCACAGCTTGCCAGGCAGTAAGGTAACAGCATGGCAACCTGGCCTTTCAAGCCCTTACACATCTTGGGTGATATTCCTTGTCTCTAGAACACAGTGGCAAGTGCAGTGTCCTTTTTCAGTTAAAGATGAGTTGGATTGAGAAAAACTGAAACTTAGCAAGCTTGTGTAGCAAACCAAGACTGAAAACCAACTAGTTGCCTCCAGATAACCTACTGCCTATTTAATCTTTAGCTTGCTATCTCTATAGGCATTTAACATTTTAACAAAAAAGTTGTCTGTGGGCTAGGCAGACTTCTTTGGAAGAAAGCATTGGAGGTCAAAGTAGTACTTCATTCTCAAAATAGTTTTTTTATACAAACAGATGGGTAGGCACAGTTCTAGAACAGATGGGCAGGCCATTAAATTTCACTTTGCCCTTAAAGGTTAGGAAGACTTGAGAAATTGTTTACTGTGTTTTTATAAGAATTTACTGGAAGTGAATGCTGTGGGCTCGGTGGTTAAGAATACTGCACTATTTGCAGAAGATCCAGATTTCATTCCCCGCACGCACATTGTATGGCTCATTACTGCCTGTAACTCCAGCTGAAGGGCATCTGATAACTTCTTCCAACCTCTGGACTTTCACATAAACGTGTACACAAAAATTAAAATTAAAAAAAAATCTGTAACAATTACCTTGTGTTGTGAACAATAAGGATGGTGTGAGCTACTAATTCTTTTGGCTTAGTTTAATTTGAGGGTTTGTGTTGCTGCTGCTTTGTAAAGTATACTTGGTCAGTTTCCAGAAGCTTTTTTTTTTTTTCTCCTTCCCCCCTCCTCTATACAAAGTTAAGAAATGTGCAACTTTCAACTTAGGAGAACCTGCTTACATGTTCTCTTTATGATACTAGAAACCCAAAGAAGAAGTTAGAAACAAAAGGATATGACACTTAACATCTTACTTAAAAGAGTAAATGTTCCTTTAGATATGGTAGCCAGAAAGGATTGAAACTATTGCTAGCCATCAGGCAGTGCTGTTGGTGGATAAAGTCCTAGTGGAAGGATCACTAGCTAGGAACTTATTAACCATAGAGAAGTGATTTTATTTCCATAGCCTGGTTGTCCTTATGTGATCTCAACCACCTCCTTCTTGTTGCCATAGATAAATTAATTATACATGGCATTCCTTTGTAGTCACTAACCAGATGTGGGTCTTTAAATTAAGATTAACTTAAGGTGTGTTCAGGGGATTCTCTCCAGCTGTGGTAGCCACACACTTAAAATTGTGACTAGTAGTTGCTATATTGAACACATAAAATATGTCCATTGTTAAAGTTCTGTTCTCTTACAAAAGGCATAAGAAATTTACCATTTAAAACAACCAGTGCTAGCCTAGCAGTAAAAAACTATCTAAACAGAAGTAGGAATTGCTATTTCAGTAGTGTCTCAATATTGGCTTCTCCAGCCAATCTTGATTAGAAAGAATGTACTGTTTGGGTGAAGTAACATGTTGCTTAATACCTAGTAAGTGAAACCTTTAAAAGGATACATGCTTTATATTATTGTGAAATGTGCCTAAACATTGAGTGAATTTTAAGGATAGTATTAGCCTTTGCATTTCTGAGAGGGCCACTTCTGGGTCCTTAGGTAGATGAACTCCTGATGTAGATTGCTTTATCAATGATTAGATCAGTTTGAGAGTTGAATGGTGGAATGAATGTTGTATATGGGTGTAGCTCAACAGATGTACAGTATGAGACTGGTCTTTGATTATTCTTTTCCATTTTTATAATGCCTTCAACAAACGTTTTTAATGAGCAGCATTTTGTTCCAGGTAAAAATGTTGTGCATCAGCTGTCAGTGACCTTAGAAGACTTGTATAATGGTGCAACGAGAAAATTAGCTCTGCAAAAGAATGTGATTTGTGACAAATGTGAAGGTAAGGGTTCTTACTGTTTGGATTGTTTGTTCATGGTTTTTGAGATAAGGTCTTTATAGATTAGGCTGGCCTTGGACTTGTGCCCTGCTTCACTCGACCTGGTATTACACCAGGCGCTCATGCCTAATTTTCTGGATAGATAGATAGATAAAATTGATGCTACATACACTAAAAGGAGCTGAATAAACCTTCCCAGAAAAGCTCATAATGGCTTTGTTGTTACATTTTCATGCATGTATATAAATACGCTTTCATCGTTGCTCTCCTGTTCAGCTCCCACTAAACCCTCCTGTTCCTTGATGCTCCTCTGTATGTCTCTGTTTTGATGGCCCAGTGAGTCCCCTTAGAGTTGCTTACAGGAATGTGGGTGAGGAATTGTTTACAAAAGGATGGGCACCTTAACCTTACTCAGTTGCTATATCACAGAAGAAAATGTCTCTCTAGGGTTGAGGCCTTGACATTAGCTTGACAAGGTTTTGATGGGCCAAATCTGTATAGATCCTAAGTAGACTTTTTTTTTTTTTTTTTTGAATACATTGTGTTTGCATGTACGTGTTGCTGCGTTTTGTCTGTGTGGTTGGTTAGGCTTAGTGAGACCAGCACAACCTTGTCTCAAGGTAGAAATGTGCTGAGGGCACATGAAGATTGTAGTGCAGGCAGTCTTGGCGTTACTGCCTGCCTCACTCACTGCTCCCTTTAAGTGTTCTCTCAAGAAAGTGAAATAACTGCAGAGATATCTGCTTGTAGAGATCTTCAGTGTTAGGACTGCCTACTTGGAGCTCTAACTGCAAAGGCAGCACACTACTCCCCACCTGTCCCCACCCCACGGGTGTTTGCCTGCCTGAATGCCTGAATGCCTATCTCTCTTGTACTGCTTCATGCAGTACCTATGGAAGCCAAAAGGCATTGTATCTCCTGGAACTAGAGTTAGAGAGGGATGTAAGCCACCATGTGGGTGTTTGGGATCAAATCCAGGTCACCTGGAAGAGCAGCCAGTGCTCTTAATGAGTCATCTCACTAGGCCCTGCCTTCCCTTCCCACTCCTTTGTTTCTACCAGAATCCTAGGAATATATACTCTTTGGCATTCTCATGTCTAAAAGATGTCATTTCTTCACACCCTTACTAAAACAATTGCTTGCTGACTTCCACTGTTGAACCATTTCTAAACTAACTCAAAGGGCAAGATTTCCCACCCTCTTTGACACTGCTGAGATTTATAGCTTGCTTGCCTTGTATTTTCTTATTTTGCTTTTTGTTTAAAAACTCATGATTTTGAAATGGCTCTAAAGAGAGTCTGAATTGTATAATTTAAGGCAGCAGCCCTTGAAAATCCTAAGGCGTTTTAGATTCTGTCTATTGCAAACTTCATACACAACTTTTTTTGAAACTCTTTAGGCCGAGGTGGTAAGAAAGGAGCAGTGGAGTGCTGTCCCAACTGTCGGGGGGACCGGCATGCAAATAAGGATTCATCAGATTGGACCAGGAATGGTTCAGCAAATTCAGTCAGTGTGCATGGAATGCCAGGGTCATGGAGAACGCATCAGTCCTAAAGACAGATGTAAAAGCTGCAATGGGAGAAAGATAGTTCGAGAGAAGAAGATTTTAGAAGTTCATATTGATAAAGGTGAGTTCCTTATTCTGATAGTTTTATTCATATTGTATAATGTACTTTGGTAATTTTCCCTCCATCCCTCATTGTCTTCTGTAGCAATTCCCCTTATCATGTGGTGGTAGGGTTGTTAAAGAACATTTTACCCAAAATCAGTTTTCTGAAATGTAATTATCCTGCCTTTAAAAGTTTATACTGTGCACATTCTTAGGAATTAAGGAATAACATAAATGGATGTGTGTGTGAGGTGAGGAATAGGCTAGGCTGGTTAAAACATAGATTGCTGGCTTTTTACATGTTCGGGGTTAACATTCCTGTGAAACCTAGTTTAACACATCTTTAAAGAATATTGTGCATATCTCCGGTCCTTTTTTTAACTGATTCTTCAGCTTTAAAATTTTTCTTTATTGAGATGGGCATTTTTCTGTGTTGCTGAGGCTGGCCTCAAATCTTTTGACCAGGTAACTTGTTTCTTGTTTATTTTGAGATAGAGACTTCTGTATGTATGGGCACCATTAACTCTTGGTCCTCCTGCTTCCATCTCCCAAGTATTGGGACTACATCTGGGTAGTACAGTTAATCTACATTCGAATTAAGAAAAGAGTACAATTAAAATGGGTTTTGGGCCTGGGCAGTGGTGGCACATGCCTTAATTTCAGCACTCAGGAAGCAGAGGCAGACAGATCTGTCTGAGCTCATGGGCAGCCAGGGTTATAAGAGAAACCCTATCTTCAAAGAAAACAAAATAGTTTTTACTTGATGGGTGTTGGGTGGTTCATGCCTTTTAATCAGGAGGCAGAGACAGATGGATCTCTGTGAGTTCGAGGCCAGCCTGGTCTACAGAGCTACTTCCAGGACAGCCTCCAAAGCAATACAGAGAAACTCTGTTTCAAAAACAAACAAAAAAATTAGTTTTTCCTGATATTTTTATGGATTCTTTGGAGATTTCGAATTACATACCCCTATCACATTCACTTCCCAGTCCTTTCCTGTCTGTTCCCTCCAAGCAAAAGTAAGTTCAATATGGATTCAAACTCTCCATGGCCTTCCCTAGTTCTTCCCCTTCTGCACCCCTGCTGGAGGCCATCTTTTATATAGAGTGACTCTTCATCTTATCATGGTTTTAAGATTTCTTTTCAATACTTCTTATTTAGGTTCTTACTATTGGGGTAGGGGGTAGAGGTTGTCACAGGAGTTTTCCACATTCCTTTCTTAACCGTGCCTTTCACTGCCAATGTAGCTTATTTGCTCTTTGGGGACATGGGCTTCCACGTGGTTTGTGGTGTTAGCACAGACTATTAATGGAGCTTCTGGTTACAGTAGGCCTGAGGACCCAGACAAGGCCCTCTGATGCAGCTGGGATCATGTACATTAACATAGCTTCAGGTTGTAGCCCAGCCTTCAGTAGCAAGATGGGCCACTGTTTTTATGTTTGTTTTTTTAACATTTTTGTTCTTTTTCTAATTTTTATTTCATGTGTATTAGCATTTTACCTATATAAGATGTTGGATCCCTAGGAACTGGAGTTACAGACAGTTGAGATGCCACATGGATGCTGGAAATTGAACCATTCTTAACCACTGAGCCATCTCTTCAGTCCCAGTTTTTAACCTCTTTCAATAAGGTTTCAGTACGTAGCCCAGGCTGCTTCTGCCTCCCTAGTGCTGGGGTAATGCCTGCCTCCTTCCCCCAAACATGGTCCCTGGGCTCACTGATAATATAATAAGCATGAGGACCTAAGTTAAATTCCCAGCACCAAAGAGTTTCCATGCTAGGTGTGGTCATATACTAGTCTGTACACTCCTGCCGTGGAGGTCTAGGGGATGAATACAGCATCACTGGGGCTTGTGGTCTGGCTAACTCCAGGTTCAGTGAGATAGAAGGATGCTGGCCTCCATAAACATGTATACATGGGTACAGCACACCAAAAGAAAAGAAACAGTTAAAACTTTATTAAACTATGTGGGGCAGAATTAGAAGCAGGTAGGAATCTCAGTAATTGCACACCCTTTAAAAAATACTTGCTGTATTGGAAAATACTCAGTATTTTGTATATAGACCACTAAAATAGTATCCAATAGTAAACCACCTTTTGGGGAAGCTTTAAGACTAGCTGTCTTGGAACATATTCTGTAGACCAGGCTGGCCTTGAACTCAGATCTGTCTGACTCCCATGTACTGGGATTAAAAGCCATCACCACTTGGCTAATACCTTTTTTTTTTTTTTTTAAAGCAAGTCTAGGCTAGTAGCAACCAAACCCAGGGTCTTTGCATGTACTGGGTAGTAACTTACTACAGAACTACCTATTGCAAAAGATGCCTTTTTACTTTAATTTTTGAGCACAGTGAACATAGATAGACAGAAGATGAGAACTTAGAGTGGAATTAAGGATTTTTAAGTAAACATAGTTTTCTTTTGAGAAATACTGCTGGTACAGCAAAAAGGCAGTTGACACTGCTGCTTAATTTAATGGTAGTACTTACAGATTGTTACACAATAGAAACAATTAACTGTTAGTGATTATAGTGTTTGCCGGTGCCAGTTTGGTTCCAGCATGGGCATTTTTAATCCTCGCTAGCTTGAATGAAATGTTTCTTTGGGAAAGTTGAGGCTTAGGATGGATATGCAGCTAAGCAGATAGTATTTGAGATTAGCAGGCCTGATTCTTGTAGAGAGTTGTATCATCTACTGTTTGATAGCCTGCTTGCTTCAGTGCCAAAAGAGACTGGATTAAGTAATTAAGTAGTCCTTTTAAGTCATTTCTGTGGTATTTGCCATCCACAGAGACATGATGCTAAAAAAAAAAATCTGTATTTGTGCATGCAGATGCTGGTCTGCATATAGAGGTCAGAAGGACATCTTGCAGGAGTTGTACTGAGGATTGAACCCAAGGCCTCAGCATATGGCACACCACTGAATTACATTCTCAGCCCACATCTGTATTTTAGTAGATATTATGATCTTGATCTTCATGTCCAGTATCAGTAAAAGTACAAAATCAATCTTTATGTAGGCATGAAAGATGGTCAGAAGATAACATTCCATGGTGAAGGAGACCAAGAACCAGGACTGGAGCCAGGAGATATTATCATTGTGTTAGACCAGAAGGACCATGCTGTTTTTACACGGTAAAGACTTAATCTCAAAACTGACTTCTTGCATGTTTGTTTGAGTTCTAATTTAAGTAACCTAGGTGTGTATGATATGCTGTAATATATTCATTCAATAAAAGCTCATTAGCTCTGTTGCAGTTGTAAATGGCTGGAAAATAGAATCAAGATTTTAGCTTTTTGTTTTACAAGTAAGTTGTTGACTAGATGTTTTATGTGGCTGGAGAAAATTCAAATAACTTACACCAATTTCCTGTCCTTGGTTCATGCTGAGTTTATGTGTAAATGTCCAAACACACTCCCTAAGAAACTACAGATTGATTCTGTTAAGTATACGTACATGTTCAAGTCTGCTGTACTGAATTTGTATCTTGAAGCATAAGATTTCCAAACTCAACTCTAACCCACCTCCAAGTTGAGTTTGGGACACTGTGTGGTAGCAACTTGTTTAGGAAAAGATATTTCACAGGTGCATATTCTGTGTTGGAAAAGAGATGTACTTAATACATGTCCCTTGAAAATAATCATAATTGGCCTAAATAATCAAGGGTCCAGCCCTGGTCTGTTTCGATTTACACTGATTCCTGTGTTCCAAACATGTGTTGGCTTCCTTTAGTCTCAATGGTTTTGTCTTTCTCTCCCCATCTTAAGAAACCAGATTTAGCCAGCAATGGTGGTGCACACCTTTAATCCCAGATCTCTGAGTTCAGGACAGTCAGAGCTTTATTTTTACACAGAAAAAACCCTGACTCAAAAAACCAGGGGTAGGGAGATTGATTTAAAATTGTTTTAAGATGAAAGCCGATCTAATCTTCCTGCCATTTGCCTTCTACCTCTCACATGCTTGAAATATAGGCAGGCAGGCCTACACCACTATGCCCAGCTCTGTGGTTGGATTTTATAGCTTATTCAGCAACTAGCTAGGCAATTCCAAATAATTTTCTAATCTCAACTTTCAAGTTGTTTTGTTTCCAAATGGAAAAGTTGCTCACTGTGGTGTGTATGATCATTTGGTGCTTTGAAATATGTAACTGTGCCTTATATTTGTATTGCTATATAGACGAGGAGAAGACCTTTTCATGTGTATGGACATACAGCTGGTTGAAGCATTGTGCAGCTTCCAAAAGCCAATATCCACTCTTGACAACCGAACCATAGTCATCACTTCTCATCCAGGTATACCTAGAGGAGCCTATTTTCATGTTGTACTTCTAAGGGAAAAGTGTCCTTTCCTTGGTTATGTCCTTCCTAGGACTGAAATGAAGTTACAGGGAAGGCATGGATGAATGCTGGTTAGCATGGATGAATGCTGGTTACTTCTTGGAAAAGCCATAAATGAAGGCAACAGGGTTATTGGTTTTCTCTTGGGGGTGGGGTGGGGAGGAGGTTGTTTTGCCTTATGCAAATGTTGATCATACTTAAGAACAAATTTGACTTCAATGTCTTTAGGTCAGATTGTTAAGCATGGAGATATAAAATGTGTGCTAAATGAAGGTATGCCAATATATCGTCGGCCATATGAAAAAGGACGTCTAATCATTGAATTTAAGGTAAGCTATAATGTTCAAGAATATTTGAGACTAGTTAGCTTAGTAAAATCTAATATAGACCTAGCAAATGCGCTTACTCTCTTTGTCCAGGAAGAATTGGAAAACCAGGTGACTTGGTGGGGTTTGCTGGCTGGCTCAGTCTTTCTTCTTGGTACTATAACAGTCAACTTCTGTTAGCACCTGGCCTGGGTGGTATGCCCCTATAATCTAGCACTTGAGAGAGGTGGGTAAAGAGTAAATCATCTGTCCAGACGGTGATGGTGCAAACCTTTAATTCCAGCGCTCAAGGTCAGCCTAGTCTACAAGGCAAATTCTAGGACATCCAGGGCTACACAGAGAAAACTGTCTGGGAAAAAAAAAGTTTTTTTAAGAAAAATAATAATGGTTCTAAGCCAGAGTTGCAATGTGCACCTTAAAAAAAAAAAAAAAAAAAAAAAAAAAAAGAGTAATTACATGTTTTTCTGGGGAAAATAGTTCAAACTTAACTGCATTTTATTTTTTGCAGGTAAACTTTCCTGAAAATGGCTTTCTGTCTCCTGATAAGCTCTCCTTGCTGGAAAAACTCCTTCCTGAAAGGAAGGAAGTGGAGGAGACTGATGAAATGGATCAGGTAGAACTGGTGGACTTTGACCCAAATCAGGAAAGACGGCGTCATTATAATGGAGAAGCATATGAGGATGACGAACATCACCCCAGAGGTGGTGTTCAGTGTCAGACCTCTTAATGGGCCAGTTCCTCTGTCATTCTGTATGCAGTAGTGAATGTGGGAAGGACTGTAACCATAATATGCTCACTACTTGGCTATTGTTTTGTTTTAATATTCAACTATAGTAGTGTTTTAAAAGTTAAATGAAGAATAAACAAATATAAAAGATCTGACTTTGCCCTGTATGTATGATGACTTCAATGTGCAAGATGAAGTTTAATAATACTTGTAAAAAACTACTTTAAAAAGTTCCCTGGCATCTGGTAGGCCATATCTTGTGTATCTGATAATAGCTGTGTACATTAGATTGACATGCTAGGTATGTGTTGTGACCCTTAATTGTTAAGCTATGGAATTAAAATTCTGTATTTAATGGTAATCGGAAAAAACAATTAGTAGTGACTTGTTGGTCTGTCTAGTTGTATGAAGTGGACTAATTGTAATGCCTCTGCATTGTATTGCCTCAGCCATTACTAGAAGGTGGCATAATACATAATTTTGCCTGTTATTAGTGATAGAAATGATACATTCCTAAAGAAGTTTATCATAAGCTATTGCTTAAGGGCTTGCTCTTCTAGATCGCATTCCCTTCTGCTGTGCCATCTTTAAAAAGTGTATGTATATACATACATACATATACACGCACATACACATAGAAAACATGGTCCCCTTTTCAAACCATGATAAGCCCTTGGGTAGTGACTTCCAAAGCCCAAGGCATTTACAAATTAAAATGAAGAGACCTTGTATGTGGAGAAGTGATTTGCATGTGTAATCCAAGAAGGGCATTTCTTAGGTCTGTTACAGGCTTGCTATTTGACTTAGGCTCCAACGTAACTGCAATTTAATGTTGGTAGTATAGCAAATTTTGAATAGCTTTGTTGTATGTTTTAAAGTCACATGTTCACATGCTTAAATCTGGGTATCAGAATTTAAGCAGTTACTGAAAATGTATGACTGTCTCCTAATATACTGATTCCAAAGTGTTTCCAATGTGTCACTGCAGACCTTTTTTTCCCTCAGTTCAAAGCTGTGGTTTTTAGGGTGTAATTTGATTATTACTTTGTACAAATGATTAATATATATGATAGGGAATAAAAGTATAGGTGTGAGCCCAAGTCAGAAAACAGGAACCGTAACCACCTGGGTGAGAGAGTATGTGAACTTCATACCAGCACAATCTGTACCTGGGTTTGCCTCATCTTTTGTAATCAGAATTTTAAAATACTCCAATCTGGAAGTTTTCTTCATGGGAGGGGGGATGTGAACATTTGAATTAAAAGTAAAATACCAGGGGTGAGAAGAAAAAAGTCTCAATGGTTAGCACTGACCCAATCAGTTCTCAGCACCCACATAGCAGCTCATTGGTCTGCAACTCAAAAGTCTCTGGTTCAGACACCCACTTCAAGCACTAGGTCACAGACATACATTGAAACAAAACTCAATTTTGGCAGGGCAGAAGCAGACAGTCTGAGTTCAAGGCCTGGTCTACAGAGTGAGTTCCAGGACAGCCAAGACCATACAGAGAAACCCTATCTCCAAAATAAAAACAATTTGGCCAAGTATGGTAACACAAGCTTTAATTCCAGCACTGAGGAGTAAAAGGCATGTGCATCTGAGTTCAAAGCCAGCTTGTTCTACAGCCAGGGCTACTCAGGGAAACCCTGTCTCAAACCTAAAAGCTTGGCATAGAAAAAGGCTCCCAAGTGTTTCTTTGGTTTTCAATGTTGGCTGTGAATAGAACTGCCTAGGAAAGAACCCTGTTGAGATTTGGGTACAGCTGGGTTGTGTGTAGCAGCCTAAACATGAAGATTGTGCAGCAGAGGTTGAAGACTCAATGGGAATAGAGCCAGGTGTCATGGCACATGTTCCAACATTTAGGAGGCTGAGGGTAGAGTACAGCCTGGGATTTGCATTGGGTTCAAAGCCAGTCTGCTATCAAGCCGTATACTCACTGGTGGTGATCTGGTTTTAGAAGTTCTCCATGGTTAGGAATTATAGTTCAGGGAGGTGAGTGAACCTGTGAAAGCATAAACTGACGTGCATGTGGACTTGACAAGCACTGAGACAACAGTTCAAGGCCAGCTACTAGTCTACAAGCAAGTTCATGACTACCAGAGCTACACAGAAACCCTGTCTGAAATTAAAAAAAAAACTTGGCAAGTTCAATGTCAGGCTTTGCTATTGAGCTTTGTTTTTGAAACAGGGTTCCTTTGTGTGTAGTCCTAGCTTTTCTGGAACCAGGCTGGCCTTGAACTATCAAGTGATCTCCCTCCCAAGGGATGGATTAAAGGCATGCATCACTATATCCTGCTTACTATTGAACATTTTAAACAAAAACCAGGAAAGCATGCCCCCTTGAACATACTATACTTGAAGCTTTTCAGATGTGGGGATGCTAACAACGTTTACAGAAGAGCTGTGGTATCTGTCATGCTTTTTAAGATGGGACCTCTGGAAAGAGTAAAAGTGAAAACACCTACTTGAAAATGCTGTATGAATACACATGCTGGATGCATCTAAGTGCCAGTTTGTGTAGGACTGGAATGGGACCTGATGAGAATGTTTTTCAAACAACCTATTGGGTGAATAAAACGTGAAAGCAGTCTGGAGTCTAACTGCTTGTGCTTTCTATTCATTACCACGGTCAGTCACACAAGGTAAATGTTTAAGATTCAGAAACCAGCAGTGAAGAAAACTACACCTAAAAATTACACTGTTGGCATGTCTTTAAAAAAAAAAAAAAAATCACCCTGAAATGTGGCTCAGATGACTGCCAATTAAGTAGGAAACAGAACATTTTTTTCTAAACCACTGATGGAATTTAACACCAGGATTGTCTGGTAGACCACACCAAAAACTGCCTCCCTGGTACCTGACTTAATTTTCATAAGTCCCAGACATTGAGCTTCCACCACTATAGTCCCACCACTATAGGGCCCTAAACCTCTGGCTAGGTGTGTTGCAAAGTTAAAAATAGTGGAAACACCAGATGTCAGTCTTTTGAGCAGGTCCTATCCTGTACCTCCACATTTAAGTTTTGTTGACTGAAATGTTTTCTTTAGCTAATTGATAGGTATTGTTACAAGAGACTTAAATCTCAGGTCCTTTTCCTATTTTTTTTTTCCAGAACAGTACATTTTCAGTGCCAACTCATCCTCCATAGAAACAAATGAGCCCAAACTTCCAAATCCCATAAACCACCATGTAACTAGTTCACCCAAATATGAAAACTACATTCCCTGAAGCAGGCCTGAACATGAAAGGCAGAGCTCAGAAAGAAAAGGCTGACAACATGATTTTGTGTCACCAGGGCTTTTTCATGTTAGTCTATCCTACACTGTCCCAGGAAATGAATACCAGCAAGGGTCATATTCCCTCTCCCCATATGAGCACTTATGGCAAAGTCTTCAGAAAAGCTTTAAGTTTATTAAAATCTTTTTTTTTTTTTTTTTTTTTAAAAAACCACCACTACTGAATATGGCATAGTGACTTATTTACACATTTTATGCTAGGACATGGGTTTTAATTAGCATTTGAAATAAGTTTTTCTTTTAGAAATAAGTCTTTTGGCAGAAGATTAATGAAAACATTAAATGAATGCCCCAGTTAGAAGCAGATAAACTAAAGCCTTTAAAATGCTTTAAATGGTGGGAAGGAGGGGAGGAAGAAGGAACTGGGACTGACATGAAAAACAAGCTTGTTTCAAATTTAAATTAAAAAGAAAGAAATCTATTTCAACCAAATGCCAAAAACAAAAAAAAAAAAAAAAAAAAAAAAAAAAGTTCTTTAAATGGATGCCAGGTGTGGTTGCGCACACCTCTAATCCCAGCGCTTGAGAAGCAGGCAGATCTCTGAGTTCAAGGCAACCCTGCTCTACAGAGTGAGTTCTAGGACAGCCAGGATTACAGAGAAACCCTGTCTCAAAAAAAAAAAAAAAAAAAAAAAAAAAAAGAAAGAAAGAAAGAAAGAAAAGAAAAAGCAGCTTTGAATGATAACTACTGTTAAACAAAATTTGGAAAAGTTATTCTTGTGACTCAGACAGTATCTTTGCTCACAAAGGCAGACATGAAAAAGCAAAAGTAACACATGAACACTCTTCTGCTTCCTCATAAGTACATGCTACACTGTAAATGATGACTTAGGGTTTCCAGAGCTTCAGGAGTCCATCTTCACTGTAGGTAGCTATCAGGTTCTGATGCGGGTGGTGTGCAATTCCAATCACATCCTTCTCATGTACCTAGAAGGTGGAAAACAGGGTGCATGGGTCTTACTTGTAAAAACACTCCCAAGAGGCCGTTAGAGTTGGCTGAGAAGACATAATTACAAAGTATTTTGTTAAACCACTAAAATTTGGAGACCATTTATTATTATAGCAACTGGCATGAATTTCTCATAAGCCAGGTGATGGCACACGACTTTAAAATCCCTGCACTCATGAGGCAGAGGCAGGTGGACCCCTGAGTTCTGGGACAGCCAGGACTAGGACTACACAGAGAAACCCATCTTGGAAAAAAAAAAAGAAAAAAAAAATTACTCTTCATAGTATCTTCAATTTAGTTGAAATTTTAATAGCCTAAAACTGAAAGTGTCAAAAGTAATCAAACTGGAAGGATAATACACAAATATGCAAGCAGTTAACCTTCAAAAAGAATGGGAAAACCCTGTCCCTCCAACCCCTCTGCCCCAGAAATTGTGGCCTAGCTAGCTAGCTGTCCCTTCTCTGAAGCCAAGCTGTACTACATACAGCTGATTCTAATAGATATTGTAAAGGCCTCCACTGCAGGTTTCCAGAAGCGTTCAGAGAAAGAATGTGCATTACCCCCATCCCTATGTGGTCCTGACTACTCACAGTCAGCGTTCTCTCCAGCTTGCCAGTGACTGTACTGAAGCAGTAGAGCACGAAGTCCTCCCCGACACAGTAGATCCACTCACCCCGGGGGAGAGTGCACAGCACACGAAGTCACCACCTTCTCTTTTACCAGAGCTGAAGCTTCTCACAATCTACACATATCCAAAAAAAAAAAAACAAAAAAAAACACCAGGTTGGCAGTAGGTCAACTGTGGGCAGCTAAACTACCAAGGCCACTAACCTAACATTTAATAGGGGCGTCTGGAGACAGGGTCTCATGTAGCCAGGATGGTTTTCAAGCTTGCTATGCAGCCAAGG